ATTGCCATCAACCCACTTAATGCCTCTGAGAGTTGCGCGTCTGTGTTAACAAAAGTACTTTTTTCTCTATTGGTTAGCTTTGACAGGACTTTTGTTGCCACACAGTTTTTCATTTCATTTCATTTTATTTGTTTTCATTAGTTACACTATACAAGGTAAACGAAAAGATGAAAAAATCCATACAAACACATTTGTAGCACAACATACGGGAGTACGAGTACAGTTTTCAGAAAATGAATGTTCAGTTTTGCCTCGCATGATGGCCTGGAAGTGTGGCCAGAGCTTTCAACTAATAATGAATGCTCTCAATTTTCCAGAGATGTGACATTTTGTTTGTGCTGTTGACATGAAACCTCATGTTTGATTTTCGAAAAATATTGAAATTTCATCCCAAAAGCTTCGCATCTCAAAAGACATGACTGAGCCATGGCATTTAAGGACGCTTTCATAAGGTAGCTTTTACAACATTCTGCTTCCACTTGGGCAATCAGACCCTGTCTAAGGGCCACAGCAAAAGCTCTGTCAAATAACCACAAGACATGAGACAACTTCACTTTGAAATTTATATACCTTTTATCTTAATTACCTGAGGCGTATCTCTACACAGCATGAGATCAAGTCTTCAACTAATGGCCATAATAGCTGCTCATGTGTTTGTGTGTTGCAGTGCACAATAATGATTCACACGCTATCAAATCAACCTGGAGTTATCCAGCACGACATGCTTCATAATCAAACTGGTTTACTAGGTAGAGTGGCAGAACACTTTCATTAAAGGACAGCAGTATCTACTACTCAGTAAAACACGGGAAACAAAAAAACAACTGCAATGTTCTTTGTTTGAGGGCCATGTATGACACCATCAGCTAATGACAAGTGACTGCTACAAAAGCCTGTGCCAAACTTTAACGTCACAGGTAACTGTTAAACTTATTTAGGCAGCTCTACCCACTGATAGAACAGTTGAAGTTAATGTCAATATTTGCAATGGGCGCTATCCTGTTTCCTTAATAGAAAAGCGGCGATATGCAGCACTGTCTCATAATGAAGTTTATAAGCTACCTGTCATGCATCTACTGGTCATTCAGGGTCAACTAATTCGGCAAGAGAGGGGGATTTGCTGGCTACGCAAGAATACTCGCTCTCTTTAAAGGCACACGCAGCTGTTAAAGTGCATAAATGCATAGCTTTTATGCCCTTATTTACCGAAGTACCCTGCTGTGCCCTTATTTACCGAAGTTGTGCCCTTATTTACCGAAGTACCCTGCTCTGCGAATTTGGGTGTCTTGCGAGCACCGCAGCAGTGTATGTGGTCGACATGACGACTAGTGTCAACAAGCTTGTTTACTAGGAAAATGAGGTAGGCATACTCAAAAACAGAACTTCATGCCACTTCTTGAAGTCAGTGTACGCTGCTCTGGTTTGCTGTGTTGTTTTTGGATGAAATATACATGCTGTAAAACCACACATTGTTTTAACAGTTATGTTCGTAAGAGACTTCCAAAAATATGTGAAGTAAACAATAAGTATTTACATAACTATTGCAGTGCAAATTGTTTTAATCTGCAGCAGCGGCAGTTCAAGTGGAAGAACGAAATAGTGCTTTTTTCATGGAAAATCACTTTGGGATGGTCACAAGATTTTCCATTTGTGTTTTTGTTTCTTCAATGAAACTTAAACTGAAATTCAGCGTTTTATAGTATGTCCTCTTTTCGTCTTCGTACATGTTAGTCACGCTGTTTCTGTGCCCATTCATTGTTGTTTCGTCACAATTTCCAGTGGTAAATCTACAGATTTTATGAGATTTTACTAACCGATACGTTTCCTACTACTCGAACCTCCTAGTCAGGTGGAATACTCCTACATAACGTGGCCCTTGTGCCAAGAAACAGCATATATCATCTGGTGGAATATTCCTATCTCGTATATAGGACCCTACTATCCTTGGTTAAAAAACTACTGTGAGGGACAATATAGGCTTACGTTCTTTTCCTATAATCAGAGAACTGATGTGTTTTCCAATAGCTCTAGGTTCTCTGCTATTGCGACTAATTCCTCACTTTCTTTGCCTTTTTAACTTGATGTATGGTGTCAAAACGAAACAAGCAAGCAAGATAAAAGCAAAGTGGCAGGTTTAGAGATCCTAATAATTGTATTTATGAATCTTGAACAGCTCTGCCTGAACAGGGGCTGTGGTAAATCTCTGCACCCATGCCAGGTAATGGGGCCAACATTCCAACAAGCTCTTTTGTAATGGCTGCATAAAATGAGGAAAAAAAACATGCACGGAATGAAAGCCAGCAAAATAAAATAAAAAACGCACTAATGCACACTAGGCCACACGCACACGTAATTACAAAATGGGTACCATGCTGCAACGTGAGCACAATACACCGTTTAAACATGATTCTTTCTCAAGTTCATAAAACGACATTGATATTTTCCAACAGGCACTAGTGCACCATCACCTACAGCCGAGAGAACCTTGCACGCGTCATCAGTGTCATCTTCCGCGTATGCAGCTGCCGCTACAATTTCGACAATCTTACGGTTGATATTACAGTGTGAGAATTGGTAACCCAAATTGAAAACCATGCACAGGCTTTCGCTATACGCAATACACTACTTTTCTTCGCTGTTGCACACATAAACGTAGCAACCGGTTGCTACGTTTAAGGCCTTAAGGAACTAATCAGCAGCGTGCTCGAACGGTAGACCTGAAGTTCACCTAAAACACGGCGGCGCGGCTTGTGACCGCGCCGCCGCGTTTCTTTCGTGTCAAGAAAGATGACGTACGGGGCGGGACTGCTGGTGAAATTCAGCCAGCTGCGGTACGTTAACGTGGATATAAATGAATTCCATTAGTCAAGAATGCTTTGATTATTCACGGATTGGGGCTACTGGGAAAATAAGTGATTCGGATACGCTGATTCTACTTGCTCGCAGTTTCACAGTAGCCGTGGAGTGATCGCAGCCCCGAGTGAACTGAATGCTGGCTCACTCAATTATTAACAGCTCCAAAGATAAGCACTTTATTTTGAAGTAGCACCAATATTTTAAGAAGGCTCTCACGTTCCGTTCATGCATGCCAGCTTATTAGACTCCCTGCGCACAATTTTATGGGTTTCTGCTTTACAACCAATACCGACGGGTTGTAAACACACACGAGGCAGTCCCACTTTTGACAGACAAGTTAAGAGAAAGAGACTTCTCTTACCTACGTGGCTTCAGAAAACCTCGTGCAGTTAAAATATGTCAGCTGTGGGCCAGCGTTGACAGTGTGGTTGGACAATTGTGCTTCACAAAATATTTTTACGAAAACATCTCGCTTTGCGACGTAAAATCATATTGATACTGTCACAGAGGGGTCCAGCTTATTCACCGAAGCACGAAACAAGCAAAGTCGTAGTATTTCGTTGTCGCTAACGTGTTAACCGTGAGACATGCACAGCCGTACACGGGAACCACTACGTAGCATCGCCATATTGTCTTCTACCGATCATCATTGAAAGAACGCTCCTGAGGGCCGCGAGGCGGTATGACAGTCTAGGAACATTGGCCCCGCGCGGAGCCGTGTGCGGGGCGGCTGCTAGGGCGTTGGCAAGCGACGAGTCCAAGTCGAGGCTGACGCTAAAATGGTTCCCGGCTCACATGGGTAGGGACCTGATACCAGGATCTCCGAACCGCAACGAGGAGGCGGATGCCGCGGCCCGTGGTCTCGCCACGTGCCGGACCGCGGCCGCGCCCGCCTCCGAAGACACGACGGCGACCGAAGAAGAAGGCGAGGAGCAGCTGCTCGATTACGGCGACATCCTCGCGTGGTACAGGGAGCAACGGCGTGGCTTCCCGCCTCCGCACAGGGATCTTACCCGGTGGGAGGCGGTGAGGTTGCGCCAGCTCCAAACCGAGACTGTGCTGACCCCATCGCTAGCGCGACACGTGTGCCCCGAACTCTACGTGAGTGAAATGTGCAGTGTGTGCGCGAGCGCGAGAGCCACCCTGGCTCACATACTCTGGGGATGTGACGCAGACAGCGCGGACGGTCCGGTGTTACCGCCGCAAGTAGAACAGCGTGTGGGGTCTACGGACCCAGAAGACCAGCGAAGGGCCGTCCGGCAGCTCGAGGTCGCACTGGCGCTGCAAAGGCGAAAGGGGGACACCCCCAGTAACCCGAGCGGCGACGGGGCACGAAGGCCTTGAGGTCTAGGCCCGCGTGACATTAGGACTTCTAGTGTAACGTGAGATAGGGTGAACCCCACGCCCTGCGCGGCCGGAGGGAATCCCGCATGCTGGAACCCAATAAAGTTTATTCTCTCTCTCTAGGAACATTGCAAATATCGCGCGCACGAAACGCACCGCGAAGGTCGGCTTATAGGCGTCCTTGACTGAGCTTTGTTTACCGCCTGGCGAATAGCAGCAATGCCTGTCAGTCGCCTGCTCATCGTGTGTTGATCGCGGTGATGAGATGCGAGCTTGCGATATAGGTGTTAGGCCTTGGTTCTTTGCAAAGCGGTGGCCAGCAACGAGTTCGGTTGTATATCGCGCTCTTGAAGTGTGCCGACACGAGCTGGCGAGGCTTTATCTAGCGGACTGGCTTTGGTTCCAATCTTTGTGGAAATCAGTCACAATCACATTTGATTTCTTGTCACTCACCCAAAAACAGCTCGGCGCCGTTGTGGCGGTGGCCCCGCGTTTCTTCGCACTATTGTTCGAGGTACGCTGTAGACAGTGGCGGCTCACGGGCCTGCTAGAGCTGTGCAGTGCCAGTCCCAGAAAACTCGCCGACTCGTTGGCGGCGCCTCGGCATGATGGCAACCCCTGCCATACTTGCGCTGTAACGTTATGTGGCTCGAAATGACATCAAGGTGAAATGATTCGCGTGCTGTATTTTAGACATGTGTTTTTTCTTTAATTCACGTTGTTGGCATTCGCCGTGTGCGTGCGTCCTCATCATCTGTCACGTGGCACTAACCATTTGCAATACTTTTTCTGTTTTGCAGAACGCAGCCGCTGTCCACAATGGGCCGATTGCTGTCTGTGTTGGCGTGTGTAACGCCACTAATCTAATGCTTCCATTAGAGCAGCTTAAAAAAAAGAAAACTCTACAAGATAGGACAACTTGACTGAAGCGGTATCAAACAGCGAGTTCAACGAAAGAAAGCAGAAACTGCTAAGCGAAAAATAAAACAATTCATCGTCTCACTTTTCTTTCCTTGTCGCATTGAGTGCAAAAGAAATGGTAGAAGAATGGCTGAATGCCACGGAAAAGAAGCCGTGAAAAAAAAATTCTCTGAACGCAATCTAGAATAAATCATTGTTTCTGGGGTTCTTCCCTGCGGAATTTGTTTCTCCCCATGGAGAAAAAGCTCCAAAGAGAGTATTGTTCCTTGCGCAGAGTAACTGCAGAAATTCATCCCTGAGTAATAACGAATTATTTAAAACGGGGGATAGAAAGTTCATCCGAACGGAGTATTTGAGTTGACCGACCGTTCAGCCAGCGAAGTGCGACAGCGAGGATTAACGGTTGCACTGGTAAACTGTAAATGTGAAGACAATATGTTAGTCCACTGAGATGACCTGTGGGGACTAAAAGCTTTCCGGTAAGGTGTAGATGTGAGGATTAATTGTTAGACCCGCTTAATGGTCGAAGAGCCGAGCGCCGGGGCAACCCCATCGCGCTCACAGAGAAAAATCAGCATGTACCTATTACATGCAATATGAAAAAAAGTTTTTTTTATCTTGTACGCCACATTTTTGCAGACTTTGTACCATCCCCAAGTTCCAAGCCTAACAAGCCGCAGGCGCTAGCTCTCTGATTACTACTGTGACAAACATGCACACTTCTGGACAATATTGACACTTGCTGCGCAGAGGATGTGTGCACGGCGCACATATGAGCTACCGATGCAGCAGCTGACACCCGCACATGGCCCTCGGTGACAGACTGGCAGAGAGGGCTGTATGTGTGCGGTATGGTAAAAAGGGGGGGGGGGGGAGGGGTGACAATTTGGTTATGCGGCTAATCACTTTTTTAGAGTTCAACACCAGCGGCTGCCTCTCGTCCCTGGCCAGATGGCGCGAACCCAACACTACAAACGCACTCGTACCCAAACACCGTCGAGCTTCACATTTTCCATGTCTACGCGCAGCCCAACGAGAAGTGCTTCGAGCGGATGCACGGTGACACTCGCACACATGCTCTGGGAACTCTATAACCGCTTCATTTCGACTCAGTCTTAGATAAGTAGGAGAAGTCCTTTAAAAGCTCACTTCTCGCCGACCAGCAATGTGAAGTCTTGCAATGCCACGAAGCAGCCGCCAGGCACTGTAAGTACCTACATGGCAGAGGCCCGCGGTGCGCTAAGCGCGTCTTGCGGGACGTAATTTTTTTTTTGTTAAGTTGAGTAGCATGCCCTGCTCTACAACCAAGTATTTTAAATGCAAAGCATTTCTTATCGAACTCTGACGAGTTTGATGATATCTATCTATCTATCTATCTATCTATCTATCTATCTATCTATCTATCTATCTATCTATCTATCTATCTATCTATCTATCTATCTATCTATCTATCTATCTATCTATCTATCTATCTATCTATCTATCTATCTATCTATCTATCTATCTATCCGGCAGCGACTTCTCAGCTCTCCTGGTGGTTTGGATAATGGCATATATACAAAAATTGGTATGGCATAACATAACTGTATGACAAGCCTCAGTTACTATAGTCATAACATGAAAATCATGGCATGCATGTCATGAATTTCATGATTTCTATGTTGTGGTCTTGCTGCTCTTGCGGTGGTTTCGTTAGCGTAATATATTGCAAAACCGGCATGGAATGACATGACTGCATGACGAATATAAATGGTAGACCGTAACGTGAAAATCATTACAAGCATCACATGCAAGTCTTGACTACACGCCACGCTCATAGTGCGTCCGCGGTCGTTTTGCTAGCTTCGCATAGGCCAAACTTGGTATTACGTGAATTGAATGGATGATGAAAGTATATGACTGGTGCGAACATGATAATCATGACATTCGTGTTGTGTAAGAACATAAGTACATGCCATGCTTGCGGTCATTTCGCTAGCTTCAAATACACCGAATTCGGTATTACGCAACTTGAAGGGATGATGAAGGAATATGACTGGTGCGAACATGATAATCATGACATGCGTGTCATGTAAGAACATAACTACATGCCATGCTCGCGGTCGTTTCACTAGCTTCAAGTACACCGGATTTGATATTACGTAACGTGAATTGATGATGAAGGTATGACTTGATAATCATGGCAGCGTGTCATTAAGAACATGGCTACATAAATGCCTCATGATGCGTTCGCGGTCGTTTCGCAAGCTTCACAAACACCATATTTAGTATTACGTAACATGAATGGATGATGAAGGTATATGAATGGTGTGAACATGATAATCATGACATGCATGTGATGTAAGATTATGGCTACATACCACGCTCATGATGCGCTCAAGGCCGTTTCAAGTTCATATAAACCAAATTTGGTGTCACGTGACGTAAGTAGACTACAAAGATAACTGACACGTTCAAACGTGATAATCATGACATGCGTGTAGCGTAAAACAATAGCTACATGCTACGCTCCTAGCGCGCTCACGGGCGTTTTGCTAGCTTCACATATACCGAATTCGGTATTACGGGACGTGAATGGGCGACGAGCACAAATGCCAGGCGCAAACATGATAGTCATGATATGGAAGTCATGTGCGGCACAATTTACGTACGCCTCGTAACGTTGTGCTGATTTATTGTGACAACTCAGCGTTCCTAATTTTTGCTGCGCATATCATTGATTCCCACTCTACGTGACATCTACCAATTTTTTTTCTCCACTTCGAAAAACATGCTAGCACGTTCATTTGACACCTTCCAAACAAAATCACGAACAATATTTTGCTCAAGCACACGCTTTGCGCATCATGTACTGCCACTAAACCTACCAGGAGCCACTGTGCATTTATTTCTTCTTATTGTTATTATCTGGTTTTTGTACAAAGATACACAAGGACACAAAGAAAGAGAGCAAGCAAGCAACTGCCAACTTAGAACAGCACTTCCCTTTGTCCTTTCCTTTCTATTTTTTGCTGCCCCGCCACGGTGGTTGAGTGGGAAAGGTACTCGGCTGCTCATTCGTAGGGCTGCATTTTCAGCGGATTTGCTAACATTCTGTAGGCCCTTGTGCTCAGATTGGGGGACACGAATAAACAACCCTAAATGGTAGAAATGTCTGGAGAACTCCACTCGGACATCTCTCATACTCATATGGTGGTTTTGGGACGTTAAACCCCACATACTAATCAATCAATCATCAATATTTTTTGGTCTATGTTATCAGGCAAGCACACAGAAGGGCTTAATTATTGGTAATATTACAAATTGATTTTTAAGGCAATACGTTGGCTAGGCTGAGCCCACTCCACAGGTATATTATATCCACGTGTACGTCTACGCTTGGATACGAAGGGATAAAATTGTGCTGGCTATAAAAATGCAGCCCTCTTTCCATCCCCCAACAAACTAATAAAAAATGTGTTTCTACATACCCGGTACAAACACTGCCTTTGCAGCTGCACATTAAGATTTCTGGCAAGCAATTTGAACAAACCAGCTTAGATTGTGTGTTGAATAAAAAAATGGTATGATTTTATTTTGTATGCTGTTCATGAAAACAAGCGATTTTAGTATATAGACCCTTTGAACTTCCACGACTTTATTGTACAATAATGACGCGCGCTATGGGACAAAGGGGTACACATAAGCTTAGTTTGGTTTGGTAAAACATTGTTATACACTTATGCTTAGTAATATTGTGAAAATATCGTCTGTTACAAATTCAAAACTGGGGCCTCCTTTCATTTAGCCCCAGTCTCAGTGACGAAAGAAATATGGGCCTCTTTTAAAGTCTCTATTTTTTTCAAATAGCAGCAGATTTCCTTATCTTTACAAGAAAATTGGCTCTCAAAATGTGGACTCCTTGGCATTGCTCGTGACAAAAATTTACATTGCGTCTTAAGATGAATAAAATTCAGCGTCGCGTTGCCATAACAAGTGCGAAGCGATATTAACATGGGGCCTTTTTGACCAAAATTGAGCCTGATCGGGACTTGTTTTGATAGCGATCAAAAACAGTCGCTGTGACGCGATCACATACTACGAATCAATTTGGTTGGCTTCGCACTGGTCTAGATTAGAAGCGAGAACTTTGATAGTGATGTTCCGTGCTAGGAAGAACAGGGCATAGATTAAGATGCGTGGCGTTCGTTTTCGGCGTCAACACAACTGGCTTTGGAAAGTTCGGCGCCACAATGACATGCTGGCATTTTGTGAGAAACTCCGCGCTTCTGAGAGTTCAAGTTCTGATGACGGTTGGTAGATGCTTTGAAACTATCGTCACGCCAAACGTGTGATGCTTTGCAGATATACCATGGCATTACTAGCTAGCTGCCAATTACTATGACACATTGTCAGGCAGGCTCGATACGTACCTCAGAGTGCTGCCTAGACCATACGTCAATTCTAGTTCATGCGGTATTCTGTAGCACACACAAGGTTACGCAAGGCATCGTCGAAATCAACTTAGTCGATCAGCTGGCACCACCACTCTTCACACTGCGGCAAAAAATGAGGTAGCAAACAATTAGCAGTTATTATCTTTTGGGAAAGTACTTTGATCCGATATACGGTCGATATACGATAGACGATCAAGAGTTCATCGAGTGAAAGCGGCGTGGGTCGTAAGTTTTTCATATGCTAGTTCACGCGTTGATCATCCTTCCACAGCCATCTTGGATTGCACGGCAAGTCGTAGGCATTGCGAGTTTTCGGAGGCATGCGCCGCGCTGCGTTGCTTTGACACAGGCACGTTTGAACGCGCCCGGCATACCTCCGTAACGAAGAGAAGCAGACGCGGTGCTGTGTGTGTAACGTCGTCGGCACGAAATAAAGCACGTCGCATTTCGCGCCGGTTGCCGCCGGGTCGTGTCGACAGATGCTGGTCGCGCCTGGCGTCAGACTATTGGCCGCGAGATCGAGGAGAGTCACCACCTCGCGGCAACTGGCTTGCCCAAATGTGGATTGCTCTGCGCGTCGTCTGCTATGTGAGCGCACGTCATGCACGTTGCCAAAGTGTGGTTTGTCCTGTCATGTCAGCGCCA